ATGGATTTTTTTATGCTTCTCTTATGATTTTTCGCTTCATTCGCAGTGTGAAAGTTTCTTTGGGCGTCCAGAGCGCAAGTTATTTGATGTAGATCCTCTTTCTTTATAACATACCAGATAGTACAGAAGGAAATATTTACTTTTTTACCTATTTCTTGATGACTTAGGCCATTTTCACGTAGAGAAAAAAAATTTTCTCGCAATGAAATCGACAATTCAGATTTCTTAGGTGCCATTACAATTTGAATCGGCAATCAACTGATAACGTTTCAACAACACCTCCTTTTAAAGTCGTCTTACATATATTATTTACTGCGGGATGACTGTCAAATAATAGCATAAAATGCAAATTTGCTAGAGTTGAGTTGAGTGTGCAAATATTTTTTTTGACATAAGCTATTTTAATATTGTTGCAAAAAAATGTTTTTTATTAATATTATTGTATTTTTTGTAATTAATTTAAATGAATAATCTTATTCTATTTTTTAAATGCCAATTTTTGTATTTATTAATGCATTTTCTTTTGTGAACAAAAATGTATGTGTGCAAATACTTTTTGTACCCACTGTAGATGTAACGCAAAAACATCGTTTAAATGAACTCGAGAGCGATGAAAATGGATATTTTCTTTAAAGTATAATACCCGAAATGTTTCGCGATTACAATACTTCCTTTACTTCTTCCAAGGAAGTAAAAAACTGTTTTTAGTTGATATTGCATTTCAATAAAATTGTATAATTCTTTAAAGTATTTCATGTATTTTATTCCTACAGAATTACGTATGATTACTTGTTTTGTTTATACCGCTGCCTAGTTTAGAAAAAGACTCTGAAATGACTTTTCACGAAAGAAATTATGCTTCTGATAACACTACCTATTACTGATTCACGTGCTAAAGGCCATCAGAATTAAATATAAACTAAAGAACGAATTTTGCATGAGTCAAGTTCAAGTTCAATAACAGCAAGCAGTAATAAAATCCGTCATTTCACTATTTTTGGCAACCGCTTGTTCAACGTTTTGCAATGTCCTTCGAAACTAGGATTTCAAAAAATGAATGTAAGCTGCTTTATTCAAAAGTGAGCTACTTTTTTAAATGACCTGCTTTCTCTAAAACGGATGCGTGTCATTTTTAATAGCCGTACGAAAGGGTTAATATGCAAAGGAAGCTTTCGATTTTGACAGAGAGTCTACATTTGGCAGCTTATCGCTATTAAGGCTATGTTCACGAATGTCTTCTTCTCCACTAACTACCGTATTGCTTATCTGAGTTACAGAAATAGCAGTACTTTTTCTTTGCATTTTAAATAAATCAGAAAAGAAATTAACCATTTATTCTAAATATTTATTATTAAAATTGCCAAGGATACTGTTTTAAACGCAAATAAAGTTATTTCTTTTATTTATTGGTTAGAACGTAATATTAAAATTATCGCGCTTTAGACAGCTTGGAGAAAAAAATCAGTCAGAGTATATTTTATAGACGTAATATACTTTTAGATTTGCATGTCGTGGGTTCTTTCTTTGAAAAAGAATCTGTTATAGTTTTGAAGCTTGCTCCCCCCTATTACTGGACCTCCACCAGTTGCCGAAAGGTTAAGACCCTTGAATACTGATAAATTGATCTAATTTGGGCTCTACCGCAGGCGAATGGGCTGTCTGCATGGTTGGTTTTTGTGGTTTTTCCCGTGTGCAAAGTGACTATGAGAAAGTTTCCTTCAGAAAATCCTCCACGAAGGTATCCCCTTTTCTTAAGCCCATAACTGTCGTGACTCCGCCATATTTAAATAACGAAACAAAGGGAAATTAAAAAGAAAATAGATAAACACTTAAATGCTGGATTTTAATCCGGCTCGACTGCTTCTTCTTCATAATGGATGGATGCCCTAAGCATCAAGTATCTACGCTAAACAACATTGCTACGCTTCTACGTCTTAGAGTTCCTAAATCAGTGCCTCCAAAATTGTCCTGTGATTATATTTTTCGGCCAGTTCTAATTATGAAGAAATCGACACGAGTTTGTTATTCTATGTTCACAGTGAATCACGGGAAAAAGTCCTGTGTCAGTGAAAATTTTAATGCAAGCTTGTGCTGCATGTTCGCTTATGCGTCAAACTATTACGCTATCAGCGTATCAAGGACTCTAAAGAGACTACTATATTCTAATGTGTTTATTTATTTAATAAAACATCACTCAGGTATATAACATACAATTAATCTTCAATAAGCCTAACTAACTACAGAAACATGTTTACCTAATTCTATAATTGCCCTGCTGCCACTCTCATGAAACCAAACTAACAACAATTATTAGTGGCCAAAACGTAAAAGTAATAAGTATTGTAAAATTATAAGTATAAAATTAAAGTAAATACAAAATACATTGTTTTGAAATCCAACATCCTCCCACCTTAAGTTGTTGGGAAACAACTTAACCTATTAGAAATGTTAAAGAAAAACTTAAATCGAAAAACATAAAAGAACTGAATTAAAGTCCAAACATTTATAAAGTCTATAAGTCTAGTCTTTGGATAGGCTTCACTTCTCTTCCACTCCTGGTTTTTATAGATTTAATATCTTTTTGGCTGTTTTCCACTGAATACCCTTCAACCTAGCTTGTTCAAATCTTTCATTTTTTAGATCTTTTAACCAATTACATGAAAGTTCTAAAGGAAAAATTCTTTGTACGGGACGTAAAAGTTGCCCATTTGTGGTTTTCAATCGTACCAATCTAATGACATTGTCTCTTCCAGGTAACAATTCTGTAACAACGGCTAATGGCCACTGAGTACATTTAACATTATCACTTCCAACAAGAACTACGTCAAGTTTGACATTTTCTTCGGATCATGTCTTTGAATCAAAAGTCCTAGGTATTCAGATCTGAATCTTTTTCGTATATCCGTGATTAGTTGTTGACGATATTTTAATTTTCTTGTTGAGGGAATGCTGATCAATCTCATCCAAATCAGGAACGCCTGACTTTCGGAAATCTTGCAAAAATGAGTTAGGAGATAAAGGAACAAGTTCAGACTCCTTTTCTGAAACATAGGTAAGTGGACGAGAGTTAATAACAAATTCAGCACCACACAACACCGTTGTCATTTCTTCAAAAGACAGCAGAGATTTCCTCAAAACTCTTCTAAGAATTTGTTTCTAAGAATTTGTTTCATCAAGCCAACTAATCGCTCCCGAAAACCGCCCCACCAAGAGGCAGTTGGGGGATTGAAAAACCATTGAATTTTCTTAGTGGTGGTGTATTGAGCAACGACATTCCAATCAACGAGTTTCAAATAATTTGATGCTCCAACGAAGTTGCTTCCGTTGTCACAATAAACTACAGAAGGACGGCCACTGCGGGCTATAAACCAACGGAAACTCTGGATAAAAGCCTCTGTAGACAGTGAGGAACTAAGTTCAAAATGCACAGCTCTATACACAGCACACGTATATAGGCAAATCCAAGCCTTTTCTTCTCCTTTTAAATACACAGGTTCAGCCATATCAATTCCAATAATTTCAAAAATAGATGCATCTCTTACGGGATTTTCTGGTAATGCAGATATCGGTGCTGTTAAATTTCTCTTTGCGTACCTTAAACAAGTAACACATTTGGATAAAAAGATCTAATGACTTTTTTCGCGTTTAAAATCCAATAATGTTCTCTTAGAATATTCAACAATATTTGAGAACCAGCATGAGAGTTCTTCTGGTGTTCTGTTGTAATTAACCTTTTGACAGCCTGATGTTTCTCCGGTAAAACAAAAGGATGTTTAAAGTTTTCTGTATCCTTCCGAAATGTAATTTTTGTTCGCAGTCTAATAATTCCTTCTTCGTCCTTATATGTTGCCAAAGATTCTAATTTTCTTTTGTTTAAATGATCAGAAAAGTATTCGTTTTGTATTAATAATATGACTTTCTTTTCTGCATTTTTGACTTCTTCGTAGGATAACTCTCCAATAATTCGCGAAGACTTTGCATTTAGACAATTAAAGATAAATCTTTTTATCCAAGCAATCAACCGTATCACTTTGTCATAGCTTGAAAAATAATAATAGTACCAACTTGATCCGTAATGTCTGCATTCATTTTTCTTTTCAAAAGTTTTGAAGCTACAAGTATTTGAGTAATTTAGAGAACAGATAGAAGAATGCCCATCAGATTTTGTTTTTCTCTTTTCCTTAGCTGTAGAATGTTCATCAAAATTTTGTTCTGTGATGGGCCAGTTAGAAGAAGGTTCTAATAACCAAGTAGGACCCTCGCACCATTTGCTTGATAACAATTGTCTAGCCGAACATCCTCGAGAAGGCAAATCAGCTGGATTCTGGATCCCAGGAAGGTGTTTCCATGCAAGAGGATCCGTTAAATTATTGATCTCATTCACTCTGTTCTTCACAAATACCGTCCAGGATTCTTGACGTTGAATCCACCCTAAAACAACCGTTGAGTCAGTCCAATAATGCTGTTCAACATTTTCCATTGAAGCCCTTCCACAATAGATGCACACAAACGAGCTCCCACCATTGCAGCCATCAGCTCCGATCGAGGGATAGTCATGGGTTTTACAGAAGCCACTCTAGCTTTGGCTGCTAAGAGATGAACTTAGACATTCTCCGATGTCTCCATACGAATGTAAACAGCTGCTGCGAAGGCCGAATGACTAGCATCACAAAACGTATGCAGAGAAATGTTTTGTCTACTTGGATCAATTGAAAAACACCGTGATATGGTCACTTCCTTCAGCAAATGAAGTTCTGAAAACCAGCTCATAAATTCTTTTTTATATTAGCGTTGACTTCAGAGTCCCAAGGTATGTTTTCTTTCCACATCTTTTGCAATAACAATTTGGGTATCAAAACAGGACATAATAAACCAACTGGATCGAACACCTTATGAGTGACAGAAAGAATTATTCTTTTGGTCAAAGTTTCGAATTTATAGCTGTCTAACCACTCCAGATTTATCATCAGCGTATCCTTGTTTCTATCCCATAAAAGTCCTCATACAGAAGTAAATGGTTCAGGACCATTATCATTAGTGTACTGCCAATCTCTCAAATTGAATTTTCCCTCACTCAGTATGGCTTGAGACGTTTCAATGAAGGGTAATATATCACATGTATCATTTAAGCTCGTTACTAAATTATCAACATAGAAACTCGAAATAAGAATCTTAACATAATCTTGATTATATCTGGCATCATTCAAATGTTTTCCCAAATGATAATCTAAAACTGCTCCCAAAAGAAAAGGGCTGCTCTTTACACCAAAGACCAATCTGTTGTGTTGCATTACCTTAACTTCTTTACAGTCGCTATCATTCCACCAGAAGAATCTCAAATAGTTTCGTTCTTCCGGCCGAACGCTCACTTGCAAAAAGGCCTTTTCAATATCTGCAATAACACCATACTTAAATTCTCTAAATATCAGAAGGAGACTTGGAATGAGTTCTAATAAATTGGGACCGGATTCTAGACACTGATTCAAAGATGGAGATCCAATTTGCCTAGCAGACGCATCGGACACTGGACGTACTTTGGTAGTACCATGTTCCTGGACTACAGGTCGGTGCGGAAGAAAGTGCTGGTGTGAATCATGCACATCTGTGACATCATCTATTATTCTCAATTCAGTTCATTGCTTAAATGTTTCTGAATTCAGCTTTTTTGTTGAGACTTGAAGTCTTCTTATCGCTATATCTTTGTTGGTTGGGAGAGGCAAATGATCGTCTTTTCACGGTAAGGCAACTTCGTACCGCCCATCATCATTGATTCGTAGAGTCTCTTGAAAATATTTCTTCGTAAGAAATTCCTTTTCCTTTCGTGATTTTACTTCGACTAGATCAGATATTCTTAAGATGTCTAAGGAAAAAAGGTCAGAAATATTGGCATCTTTCACAAACATTGTTACAATCGTCATCGCCTTATCTTCCCTTTCAGCATTCACTGATGTTTTACCAATCAATGTCCAGGCCAGGTAAGTTTCTATGGCTACACTACCACTAGAAAGTACTATTTTTCTGTCGGTGAAAAGTCGACCAGCCACATCTGCACCAATTAAAAGATCAATAGGCCCTGATGAATCTTCAGTGTCATAAAATGGTATATTCATGGACCTGAGCTCTTTAATCCATGGCCCATTTAAGGCAGAAGGTACAGCATCACAAATTGTATCTTGCTCATAAATATCAAAAGTACAATTAAAATTATCGTGTAAACTCTTTAGCTTAATTTTGTAGACATTATGCACATTTTCAGGTGTTCGTTCTCCTCCAAAAAGGGCGTGGCTTAAAATCTGTTTTCTAGAAGGTATCAGCCCTAGAGAAGAAATTAAATTCTTCCTTAAATACGATTTTTGAGATCCTGTGTCATATAAAGCTCGAACACAAAGTGTACAATTATTTCCAATTATTTTTACTTTCAGGGTTTGCAAAAGTACTTGTGGTGTGTTGCTAACGCTAGAAAGATTTACAGAACTTTCTTCCTTGCTAGTTTCTTTTTCATTACTGTTTAACATAGGCTTCTTAACATTTGTTTTATTTTTAAGCAATTCCAAACACATAATTACGCTTTTATGGCAAATTGCACATTTAATAGAACTCCTGCATTTATTTGCACAATGATCAGCCTTTAAACATCGAAAGCAGTGCCCTTTATCTTTTAAGAGTTTTTGCCTCTCTGAAAATGTCATTTTTTGAGCCTTAAAACAATTAAATGAATCATGTTTTCCGCTGCAAAACACGCACTTCTTAGCGGAAGAATCAGTACTCATTAAACTTGCTGCCGTTAATGGTCGATCGTGAACAGTTTTAATAGATTTAATCCCACAGGTCACTTCGTTCTTCAAACCAAAGCCAGCCATAGCTAAACTTATGCGTTCTTCGGATTCTACTTCTGATTTCAAAAATTTTAATAAACTGTCCAGTCTACATTTAGGGTCTGCACCATGGTCAGCATTTGCACTTCTTTGATAGGCTCTTAAAAAATCCTCAGGCAAGTAAGATTCAACTAAAGAATAAAGTAATGCAGCACTTTAATCTGTAGTGAAGCCAAGGGTTTCCAGAGCCCGAATTTGTTGTTCCAAATTATCATATAATGCACATAAGTTATTACAGGAATTACTACAATTTGCATTTTTCAGGACCAATTTCAACAATTCTCTCACATAAACTTCCACTTGCAAGTCATTTCGACCAAAACGAGCCTTCAAACATTCTATGACCTTGGGATAATTAGCAGTTGTAGGGGGAAAACTTTCTATAACCTCCCTTGCACGCGAACCCTCAACAGTCGCTTGTAATAAATATTGAAATTTATCACTATCAGAAATCGTAGTATCTTTGTCAGTTTTTTCAAATTGACTCCAAAAAAATAACCATTCCTTAATTTCCCCATCAAATTTTCGTAATTCAAGCTTTGGAAGTTTAAATGTACGCTTACATACATTCTCATTAACAGATTGATTCAAAATTAAATTTGAAGTACTTACATTTTGTAGATTCTGAAGAATATCTTTCACTTTAGTTTCGATTCTAACGGCCTTGTCACGATAATCTTCAATAATATAAAATTCTGCTTCAATTTCGTTTCCGGACAGTGTGCTAAGATAACGTACTTGCGTATCTTCCAAACGTTGAGCTTTCGAAACAAAAACATTAAGCTCCGACTGTAATTCAGAAGAATTTATATCACTTTTCTTTAAAATTTCTTCTAAAACATTGAAGGCTTTTGTAAAAGCAGCTCTGTGAATCTTCTTTTCAAGTTTAATAGCTTCTTTAGCTTCCATTTTATACTTTAGAATCCCAAACTAACGTCTCTTATGTCCCGCCGAGGGTACCACTAAAATGTTCGCTTATGCGTCAAACTATTACGCTACCAGCGTATCAAGGACTCTAAAGAGACTACTATATTCTAAAGTATTCATTTATTTAATAAAACATCACTCAGGTATATAACATACAATTAATCTTCAATAAGTCTAATTAACTACAGAAACATGTTTACCTAATTCTATAATTGCCCTGCTGCCACTCTCATGAAACCAAACTAACAACAATTATTAGTGGCCAAAAAGTAAAAGTAATAAGTATTGTAAAATTATAAGTATAAAATTAAAGTAAAGTAAATACAAAATACATTGTTTTGAAATCCAACACCGCATTCATAATCAAATCATTCATGTCGTGTCATCGAACCGCAGTTTTATCACACACACACACACACACACACACATATATGTGTGTTATAAGACTCTTAGGCCCACCAGCGGCCAAGCGGTAAAGTCGCTGAACACTGGTAGTTCGGTCCGAGGTTCGAATCCAACGAATGGGCTGGCCGCATGGGCGTTTTCGTGATTTTCCCCATGTGTAACGTGTATACGAGCCAGTTTCCCTTAGAAAGTCCTCCACGAAGCAATCCCTCCGCTTAGGCAGATATCCCTAGTGTGCTTTGCCATAATTAAATAAACCAACCAAACCAACAAGACTCTTATAACTTGAACAGCAGTTTTTCCTTTCAATTCTTGCAATTTTTTTATCCCTCTATGTTAAAAAAATTTTAATTAAATCAGTTAAAATAGGAACAATCATTTTTAATCACCCTGTATTTTAGTTTAACATGATCACATATGCTAATGCAGAACTTATGTTAAACGGGAAATTAATAATAATCGATCCGGATTCTACAGTCGGTTAAAAAGCGTAGAAAAAGGTACAGACAGATTGTCAAGAGGAACGCAAACCTGACAATAAAATGCATTGGAATTCAGCAAAAATGCTCTGTAATTTGGCTTTTAAAGTATAGTTTCTAGTACTTTCTCATTTGGCTGCCATTCAAATCTTTATGTCGGAATTTCCTTTTCAATGTTAAACCGTTCGCATTTTCGATTTTCTAGGTCAGGATGGATGGAGGATGGGTTAGAAAATGAAGCCTTGCATAATCGGGGACGATTGATCCGGAGTGACGTCACGACACCAACCCTTTCTGTCTGTCTCGCACGAAAATATTCGGAACAGACACGAGGGTGTCCCAGTTCTACAGGATGTTGATATGGCAAGCTTTCTGTTCATTACCTGCTATTTTTAGACTTGGATGTCTATTACCAGAGGCTGTGGCCACTGTATACTTCCGAAAAGTGAACCACTTGGTCATGAAATGAAACCGAAGCTATTCTTCCACTGTCTGATTCGACTTTGGAAAAGTGGTTCATGATAAGGCATTCAAGCGTTTCTTTTCTACATAGATGAAATCTAACAACTTTTTCCACCGCATCGTAAACAAACATGAGCTTAATTTTGAAATAAAGAATTATTTCTGCTTGTAGGTATGAAGAAAATTGAAAAAAATTGGATGCAAATACAGCATAATACAACAATACAACATAATCACGATCCTCAAAATTAAATTTGCGAAATAAATAAAGCAATGTATTGATTTCAATGAAAACCGTCTTTTTGACTTCCTTGTACGAAGTAAAGGAGGTATTGTAATCCTGAAAATTTTCAGGTATCATATTTCAACAAAAATATCCATTTTGACCGCTGTCGAATCCATCTGAATGGTGTTTTTGCGTGATATCTGTATGTACGGGCAGAATAAAGGTCTATTTTTTCCAAAACGGATTAAAAAACTGGATTTAAAATGGATTCAGATGAATTTTTTTCGTGACGTCTGTACGTATGTATCTCATAACTCAAAAACGAATAGCTTCAGAACGTTGAAATTTTGTTATATGGTACTATATATATGTATTAAAAAGTAAATTTCGGAACGAAATTGAATAAAATTTTGTTTCTTCATTATGAAGGTTTAATCTTTCTTCTCCGGGTAAAAAATTACCCAAATGAGTAAATGTAAATTAATGAAACTTTCAAAAACGTAATCTTTAATTAAAAATTATTATAAGAAAACAGAAACTTTTTTAAAAAGTTACAGAACATTGTACGTAATAAAACAAAATAACTTTTTTTTATTAATCTCTTCTGTTTAATGCTTCAAACAGAACTTGTCAAGGAAAAAGTGTCTTTAAGCCCAAGCTGATTAATGAGCATTAATTTAAACCAAGCTCATTAATGAGCTCCAAATACATGTTTCCTTCCTCTGAATCATTTGAGACTCAAAATTCTTTTTTGTACCAAATCTTCACTTTAAAACAACCTTAAAATGGTTCCCAAGTGTTCAGGTCTTTTCCTACATGCATTCGCACTCAAAAAAGACAAAAAGTTATATACAAATGCTAAATAATAGTAAAAAATGTTTTACTAAAGTCTAAAAAAAAACCTATAAGAAGTCTAAAAAGAACCAAAAAAGGCAATACATACCGTGTCAAATCCATAAGTTCGTACGCATTAAAAGTATGCGTGGAATTCACTTCGCATTTACTAAAACAATACAATTTTGAACCTGTTGAAACTTGTCATCGTTTGACTAACATATTATTCAGTTCATCACCAACTTTCGTAAATATCGAACGCATTTTAGTACCCATAGAAGATGAATATAGATAGATAATCAGTATAAACGTGCTGTGCTACATTTTTTATTTTTGCGTGGTGAATCTACCAGATTTGCAGAGATAAAAATTAATGGTGTACATGGTGAACATACTATTAGTGTAAGGACAGCCCAGAAATGGTTTAAAAAATTTAAAGTTGGAAAAAGCAGCATTGAGTGATGAACCCCGTTCAGGACATTTTGAACTGTTAGAACCAAATCAAATGATTCATTCAGAAGTTTATAGTGAACAACTTTGCCGTCTAAACTCAGAATGGATCGAAAAACGCTCACGATTGGTGAATATCAAGAAAGTGCTTTTTCATCATGATAACGCTGGAAGGCATACGGCACGAACAACGCTGCGAAAAATTAGTGATTTTAATTGGGAACTTTTGCCACATCCTGCTTACTCCCCAGATATTGCCCCAAGTTATTTTCACTTATTTCGTGCCTTACAAAATTTTTTACTGGGGAAATAATTAAATTCTAAACAGGATGTACACAATATATTTTCAAGTTTTTTTGCATCAAAACCACTTTCTACAGCAATGGCATAAAAAAGCTGCCTGTAAGATGGCGAGACATTGTAGATAACGGAGGAAAATGTATAACTGATCAAAATGTTAAATTGTTGTTTTTTTTTTATATTATTTAAAAGTTTACCAAAAAATGCCCACGAATTTATGGACTGACCCAATACATAAACCCTCTGTTACTCGGTTCGACGAGTTCAGTGTTTTTATTCTTATATGTTGGCAAATTGTGCATTTTTTTAAAGTGATTGAATTATGTTGTTCTTACGTTCCGGTTAAGGTTTTTATGCCTTTAGTTAATCTGCATGCAGTAGTTGTAGAATTGTGAACAATTTAAAAGTTGTTTAAGTGCGACTAACAGCCTAACGGAGCAGCCCCTTGAAAGTTAGCAGAATAGTGAATTAAGTCAATTTCTGAACCTTCAGAATTTTGCCGAGTGGGACGCTGCTTATGTTTTTCTAGATTTTTCAGTTTTTAATGAAGATGTTTTGAGTTTTTATGTATTTTTGCCTGATCGCGAATTGAGAACTAAATGAGAAATATATCTCTAATGAAATTTAGCAAAACGTGTGTACATACAAAAGTGTGTAGTAGGCCATACAAGTAAATCATGTAGTGTCCACATCAGATTTTTTTATTTACATTTATGTTTCCTATAATGACGTTAAAGAGTCACTTAGTGTAATTTTAATGGGTCCAGCTAGCAAAATTTCATAAAAAATATTTCATTACCTTATAAGATATTTCCCTCTTTCTTTCTGCATGCCTTCGGGGTGTAACGGTAACACACTCGGCGCGTATTCGAGAGGTCTAGATTCGAGTCCCGGCAAGGGCATTGCACATTTTCACGTCTCCTTTTCAAAATATTCTAACGACCCTACAACCTTTAATAATATACCAAAAGTATTATATTCTTGATTACACTAATTTAATCAACCACTGAAGTTAATAAATTCTAAACTTAACAAATATTGTGTTGTGAGCTGTCATCAGTATTCCACCTCGCTGTATAAATCTTTTATAAAAACTGTAGAGACATTAGGATATATCGAAGCAGGAGACATGAAAAATGAGCAACGCCTTCGCCGGGAACCGAACCACGGACCTCTGGAATACGTGCCCAGTGTGCAGACCACCACACCACGAAGACACGCTAAGAAGTCGGGAGAAATAGCTTATAGAACAACTACTTTTAATCGTGCACTGAAAATGTTTGGAACAAAGAAAAATATTTAAAACAAAGTTTTATTTTTATCGCATAAAATCATCTTGTTTTTTAACCACAAGTACAAATTTGAAGTATAAATCAGCCTGCTTCCTTACTTCAGATCTTGTTAGCTATATTTTAGTTTTAATATGCTACTCAGTTTTTAAATGCATTTTTCTCGGTACTGATATTAGCTGAAATATATTGCTTTTCGGCACATTGTTATAACATACTGCTTTTCAGTTGTTGAGCTTGCTAATCGAAAATTCATTAAATTCATACAAAATATGAACCAAAAAATGGATGAACCAAAAAAAAGGATAAAAAAATTCAAAATTCAAAATTAGGGCTTCAAAGAACACATGTTCGGTCGGAGGCTTTCAGTTTTATATTACGCCCAAAGGGGTGTTTTCTTAACGTTTTTCGTGTTACCTTTATTTATTAAACATGGTGTTCTTCCCATGTTCTTCTCACTTAAACCATAAAATTCAATTCAACAGTAATATCACAAAAATAATTTTAAAAGAGCACATCTTATGAATTTTCGATACA